TAAAGAGAAACAATTAAATTATAAAAATTACTTTTACGATAAAAAATTAAACTCTCATTGGGCGGTATTCGTAGTCCGTTTTTATTTTATATAAGACCTTCTTAAACAGGCCTGTCCAATTTGAGCTCTGGAGCCAAAACATTTGGTTTACATTCCCCGAAATCTTACCCACACTGAATTTTTTACGTCGATGGCTTCGCGTTTTGGCTCCAGAGCTCATATTGGACAGGCTTGGTCTTAAGATGCTAATACGATATTTTTAGCGACCCCTTTTTTTAACATCCTTCTTTGAGTAAAATTACATTTTTATCCTTTCCTAATTGGAATCCTAGATGTACCCATGAATAAATAGCGAATCATAGTGTTGTAGTGTATGTGTAACGTACGTTGCCTTCGTCAATGATCGTACCTCATCAAGAAGCGCCCGTATTTCACCCTGGATGATCTTGGCCTCCTTCAGCACTTCCTCACTAATGCTAGCCAGGTAGCTGTGCTCGGTATCGCGCGGTACGCGGAAGATGTCCGGATCCATTGGTCCCTTGAGCACCCGATGCTGACCTACGACAAACTCTAGTTTTTTCGTCCAGGGATTGATAAAGGATGACCACTCGGTCTCGAGGACGACGCAGCTCCCGTTCTGCACGGCGAACCTGTACGGCTTCGACCTGAAGGAGGAGCCTTCGAGTTTGATCACCTGTTCAACGACATTTCGTAAGGAGTTACATGAATAATTTACGGCAGTAACATGAAGGAGAATATCTGAACACTCATTCATTGAACTTTCATTCTCTCTTTCTCTCTCTTTCTCTCTTTTTCAAACTCTCTCGCATATCTCTCGCCTCTTATTATGCATGCATGCGAACGAAACCTAAGTTTCTTTCTTTCTTTCTTTCTTTGTTGGGCTCATGCTCACAGTCCCATAGATGTCTTTGATGAAAGGTAGATCCTCGGGATGGTAGAAGTCAAACAGCGAACGGCCAACCATATCCTGTGGTAGATAGCCGAAATATTGGACTACGTCGGGATCAACATGGGATAGGTGGCACGTCGCAGTGTGGCGGGTCGTGAATACCGAAGATATTATTGTTTCTTCTGGCGCTGCGGATAACGACAAGGTTCGGGGTCATTCTCTCTTGTTGCAGGTCACTACCTTAATTCGCGAGAGCTTAGTAATGGTTAGACGCCGACAAGTTGGGGCGAGATTTGCACGTTGCTAATTAATTAGTTTTGGCGCAGTTAAAAAAAATCCATGCTCAAAAAGCTGCTCGATGCCATTCAGAATTTTTTCCATATCCATTCGTTCTGGACATAGACCTCTAAACAACTTTGCACGAATTTGTGTATTGATTATGGCCAAACTTTGGAACTTCATTTTTTTGCAATGTTTCCTTTATATTGTGCTCGCTATTTCATAACAATCTTTTTTTTTTAATTTAAACATAATAAATGGAATGAATAAATAAAATAGAATAACCGATACAGATTATTAAACAATTTTGTAAACGAGAAATGGATAAAAAATTGCGAGTTGAGATTAAAGTTCCAAAGAGTATCTTCGATAAGGAACTTGAGGACATGTCACCCGTTTAAAATTGGAAATAATATATTAGTATGTGTATATATTTATACTTTTTACAATAAAAAAATAATGACAAAAATTTCAAATTTTTTTAAACTTTAAGTACTTACTTTAAATAATTAAGATTATCTAGGCAACGCTTTATTACGATTCACAGATTAGTTGTTCTGTAAATAAAGTTTAATACAGTAAATTTTATTTATTTACTGATCAACTAACTTGTGAATATAATTTTGCATAAATAATTTTAATTATTTAAAATACTTATACAAAAAATTGAAAATTTTTAAATTATTTTTTAAGTTAAAGTATTATAATAATAAAAAATAATAATATAGTAAATAAATAAATATAGTAAATAAATTATAAAAATGTGTTGTTAAATAAGTATATGAATTATTGTTATAAGTATATGATGTTATTCAATGGTAATGTTTCATATACATAATTTCATGTATATAGTTATAGTATTAATTATTATCTATATAAAAAATAACGAATATTAATACTTTTCCAATTTTAAACTATTTGCAAGGTTAATATTGAAATTCTTTTGAACAACATAAATCCACCGATGCCAATAAAAATTAATAGCTTGTGCAGGAAGTGCGCGTTGTGATCAGAGATGGAGGCTATCCATGCGCTGACAAAAGCAAAGCGAGCGAAGCACCTTGTAAAAGATGACGAGTGCGGTGTGACAACGTGAGATACAGTAAGCGTTCGTAACAGTGGTCTCCAAACTGAACGAAAAAACGGGCAACCAATCGAAAAAATGGCGAGGTAATGGCACAGCGACAAATACGGCAAAGATGCGAACGGTGTATCAACGTATATATCATCACGAGCCGCCGCACGGGCGGCTTTGAGAAATTGGAAGTAAGTTACCTTCGTTTCAAACATTTTCCATGGAAACCACCGACTCACTGAATATCGTCAACGAGGTCGGACCAACGACAAGGCTCGATCATCGCGGAGTGATTAAGTATGCTTGTGTCGCATGTAACGAACACAGGATGTATCTTGAGAACGTATAATATAAGCAGTTGAGCGAGATTATAGTGAATGGCATTATCGCGTTTAAAATACCGCTGCAACTTTTCCGCATATTCCAGATACATCCTGTAAATCCGAGTCACTTCGACGAAGTTACTCGTTCACTTCAGCACACGTTTGTCCATGTTGGGGATATATTTCAAGTGATTTGTTATATTTGCAAGCGAGGATTTAGTAGGATGAATATTGCCGGAAGTTTTCTTCGAAGTAACTCGATTTCGAATTGACGATGGTCCGTAGAATTTTTTTCGGATCACCACCATTTCACCGCGATCCGCATTGATGAGTGTTGCATTAAATCGCAGGTTGGCCGCTAACTTTTGGCCGACAAACAAGCTGGCTGTTTGTAATTATCGAGTCCTCTCGCCGGTCAGACCTCATCGGAAGACCTTGGACCGTGCTACCTTTGTATGCGGAATGGACGGGTTGAGCGGTAACTACGAGGAACATAGCTCGGTTGCTGAGCTGTTGCTCGGCCGTTCGGTCCCGCAAGTCCCGGAACGACAAAGTCAGGTGGAAAGGCAAGTACAGATTCGATCGGGCGTCTGCTCGATATCCATTCGGCATTTCGGTGCACCTGGTGAACCTCCGCAAACCGCAGAACAAGCTCGCCCTTCTGCCATTGATTCCTAAAAGTGAAACAATGTTCCGGTTGGCGCCATTCAGAAGTTGGATAATAATTAATTCCCGAAAATGAAAGATTGTATAATTCAGACGTCCTAAATATATTACGCAACAGTGATAACACTAATAATCATAGAAAAAATTGTAATATTTGGTAATAATAGGTATTTGATAATAATTTGGAGTAAAAATGAATGAGGAATTTTAACTATAAGAATATCTACTGAGTAAGTAATAAGTTTTGACAAAGAAATCTACACTAATTATATTTGGAAAATTGGATCCTAATAAAGTGAGTTAGTTTTCATATAAAATGTAAAATTTTTCAACTCGCTTTTCATTGCTTATAAAAGTGAACATATTGTCAGCAGTTTTTTTTAAATAGAAACCACAAAATATTAAGGAGAACATAACGATATCAAGCAAATAGATATATTAATAAGAAGTTAAATTGGGTTGGGTATGCCATATCCAAGTGTATTGTTCCCGTAAAGTAATCCTTTCTTCTCAGTTCATTAAATATAATTGTATATACCCTTAGATCGTTCTCCTTCCGGCGGCGACGCGATGCCACTGGTGATCTGATCGGCCAAGGTGTTCTTGTCCTTTGGATGAACATAATCGATGAAAGATTTGCCAATCCAGGCGTCCTTGAGATAACCGAGAGCGGTGCATATCGACGGAGTTGTATACAGCACGAGACCGTCGTGCATTGAAATCACCGCGCAAAATCCATCCTACAGAATGTTTGGTAGATTAGGAAGCTAGTCGACATAATGCGCTGACATTAATGATCTTAATGTGAATGATAACGTGATACTAGATTTACTTTTTGTCCTCCGCGTAATAAAAAAAAGAACAAGTTAAAATAAAATGTAATGATAAAATATTGATAACGCTAAGAGATAACAAAAGCGATTTACGAACTTCAAAAATCATCGTGGGCATTTAAGAAACGAAACTGATAATTTGTCACGTTATCATCAGCAAGTTAAGGACTTCTCACACCGAATTTAATTGCCAGTACTTCCATCGCATGCGAGGATTGTATATTAAAGAATGATTTAGTTGTGGGAGGAATATCAGTAGAGGAAGAGATACTTGACGATATTCATAGATATGTTACGTTACTTTCTTTCTTCTCGTACCTTACACCGGCGACATGCAAAAGTTTCTCCGCAATTTTTTTGTGTGTAAACGCACACAGTTCTTCGAAGTTCCTTCGAAAACCCGATGAGTCCTGTATAAGAATATACACGGAGAACTGGCTGACAAATATATCTATTCACTTTAGTTAGCACTTCGTTGACTTACTTTCCTTTTCCAAAAATCGCGTACACGCCGATTTTGCGGAAAGTGCGAAAAAGTGTAACCAAACTGAACAGAAAAGATCGCTGCAACACAGACGATTGTCTAACTTCTAATTCATGATTATATCAACGCGGATAAGCAAAGTTAGCAATAACCCGAGCAGAACAAAAAGTCATGATGACATCAAAATAGCGTTAAAATGGCTCCAAAATGATTATTAAAAATTACTTTTTAATCAATTATATGATTCATTTTAACATTATTGTGACTTGTTGTTTTGCTTCGACAAATGGCTTGTAATCAAGCAGTTAATATCGTTCCCCAATATTGCTGATGTATATTAATGTTTGCAGTTATTTACTCATAATAGTAACGGAGCTTATAAAAGTAACGGTTTAATTATGAAATGGAATTACGGAAGCGGTTTAATAATGGCAGGTCATGAGAACCCAACCGTCGAGTCCCGAGTTTGCTTCTACGATCGCACGGTGCGATTCTTGAGAATCTCTGTCTTTTTCTTTCTTGTTACGCCCTTACGACATGTACGTGTGCATGTATGCGTGTTTTCTTTCTGTTATCTCTCTCTACTACGTTTATCGACGTATACTAACATTGGCCTGAGACGTGGAATCGTCCAGGAGGACCGTCCGTGAAGCAAGTCCTGCTTCCGGATCTGCGACGGTTCCGCCGTTGTGCTCGCCGGGATCCGTTGCGTCCACCAATTCTACAGTGGTTACCTCTTCTTGCATTAAAAGCAGTAAAAGAAATTCTCTTATTATAAGCGTTGCCAAGCGTTGCGCATTTTCGGATTTATATATATATATGTATACATACAATTTTGAAATTGTTATAAAATTGTTATTATCAAATCCTTTGAAATGTATGTAAAAATTAGTTTATTTCAAATCACAGTCAAATAGATTCTTTGTATATTGTAAGGAATCTACTAGACTTTAAATGCTAAAAATTAATTTGTTTGTAATTTGTATTGCACATTAGGAGTTTTCATTGGAATAAGCTAAATCATTACTTTGGGATTTTTTAAGATCTTTGATAATAACAGAAAATATTATGAAAGAATATGAAATGTTTTTTTAAATAAAAGATGAAATAAAATGCAATGGTGACTTTAATAATTTAATAACTTAAGAGAATTCTTGTATCATAAACGTAAATGAGTTCTATTGTATATAAAAATCACGTTAGCACGACTTGAGCTACGCGAACAAGAATAGGAAGGATGCAGGAAAAGACGCTCAGTCCAAAATGTTCCCTTAGTCCAAAATGACGCGGAAATGACCATGTTGAGATTCGTATTTTGCATAAAATCGGCGAACGACTGCCAGACGGAAAGTTCAATGCCATTACTCGGTGATATGCTACCTCCGGCTAAATTGTTACTTCCAGGTGAAAGGCATTCACTGCGGTTTCTTCGCGAGCGCATGAGACGTGCGAGAGAATCGTGCGATAACATCTAAGTAAGTGAAAGCAAACCTAATCTGCGATAGATTGGCGATAATATTAATGCTTTTATCGATTAAATTCATTTTTTGGCCAGAAAAAAAATATATTTGTGATTTTATAAAAGATCTTTGAACAAATAATGGAAATCAGAGATTGTAATGAAAATAAATCAACAAAGTGTAATGCTTATAATAGCCAAAATATTCAAGTCTAATTCTCATTAATTTCATTTTATTCATTTAAGATTCATAAACATTTCGACCCTCAGTTTGGATCCTCCTTAATATACAAATTATATTTTATAAAAGATTGACCAAGAATAACTTTAAATCTGTATGATTAATTTATTGCGATTAATTTAATGTATCAGTGTTAAAATAAGGCATTACACACTTTGTTAGTTTAACAGATCTTTATTTGAAAAAGTTGAATTACGTAACTTCCTTACTTTCGGGATTAATATTTTTTTTATGTGTATTACATGCCGTACGATGTATGTTCTCCGCTGTTACCAGCTGAAAAGCGAGACGGCGAAGGGCAATTTTTAAGAGCACTATTTTTAATTCCACGCTGATGAAAGGGTTAAATAAACGGCGACGTAAACGCTTACGTAAATATAGGGATAAGCGCGAACACAGGACGAAAGTGATTTCATAACGTACCTATTGCATCTCGAATTAACGCGTCTCCGAGACATTACTCGCTAAAAATACGGTTGGTACTCTGTAATAACAATGGGGTAACAGCTGGAAGAGCTAACTTGATTATTGCTTCACAATTGCATAGAAATGTAAATAGAGCAATCTAATAACGTGAATCACAAACGGAAAAAAATGGAAAAGCTTCTAGATCAAATCTTTATTAAGATCCACGGTTACTGATACATTCTAAAAAAAAATCTAAATTCTAAAAATCAGAGAAAACTACGTTTAGAGGAAGTTACGTGCTCTAAACGTAATTAAATATGTCCTTCCGCGGCTTCACTGTTTGCTTATTGATTTATCAGTTTCGCAATAGTTTATATAACGCGCAATATAAAATCTACATTGTTGAGAGGAGAATCGTGTGTGATATTATACCTATATGAAATCCTCAAACTCTGACAAAATATTATTTTTAAAAAGAATCTGTTAAACATTTCATAAAATCTTGTTTAATTTCCTGATTGTTTAATTTTATTTGCTAAAATAATTTAACTTCGTAGTGCTTATTTAACAAATTTTTGCATTTTATACTGCGTGATTTTGGATATTTAAATATATATAAATATATGTAATAAATAAAAAGGATGAGACACTAAAGACATAAACAAAAAGAATTATTGAAATGTAAATAAAGCAACAGGTGAAGCTTAAATACTAAACTTGTTAGTACCGAAAGATCAATAACTTCGATTGGACTATGTCACGTTGGATGGAAATTTTACACCCCACTCGAGTAAGCTTCGCCCACGCGTGTCACGATTTTCTCTAAATAACCGAATCGAAGAAAGTGTTTCTCTTAATGCACGATTATGATATGTATGTATCGCATGCGCTTGCGAAATATTTAAACTGTTTAAATACGTCTCATGCTCGTCGCTCACTTAATTACATGGATTCAACTGTATGTACTGAGGATGGTTAAAAAGTTAAAAACATATATACAAATTAATAATTAAATATGTAAGATACAATTTAATAATTTGAAACTTATCGCGCACACAGTACAGCGCTAATTCCCAATAGCCAAATTTATTATAATTATATTTTTTAATATCAGGGAATTAAGATCATCATTTGTTTGAGTAATGAGCAATGTTGTAAAAATTCTAATAACCACACACAAAGAAGTATCATTTTATTGCCAAGAAAAGCAATTATTCATTTTATTTTTCTTTTTTTAAGTAATGGTTACTTTCAATAAAGAATATTTTCTTTCTGATAAAATATATTCATCTCAAGTTTTAGAAATACTCAATATCATATACTCAAAACAAGAATTTATTCTCTTTTGAAATATATTATAATATTTTATCGAAGAAAAGTCAGATTTGATTAACTTGAATATTTAATAATATATTAATGTAAGAAAATTTATATGGTCAGAAAAATTTGGTATATTTCTTTCAATTCTATATAATAGAATTTAGGAAAAGCAAAACATAGTTTAGAAACAAGAAATTTTTTCATTCCTCGCTCTTCCAATTGAAAGAAATCTTATTTGCCCTTTGTGGCAGATTATTGTTTTACGTCGATGTTCTACAGTTGCGTTCTTTATTTATTTACAGCTAACTTGAATTTTTAATTATCTCTAGACTAGCGTCTTCACTGAGTATCAAAGTAATTAGCTGCTTGACGAAATATTATTTTGAAAGATATATACTAGCTGGACTAGGGGATAATCGTGAAGAGAAGTTTCACATCGAAGTCTTAGGTAGGAAATAGCAAGGCGAAAGGTCGAGAAGAGTGCACGAAGAAATTATCTTATGGGAAACAAACAGAAGAACAATAAGATTTTAAGGATGTATTGGTATCTCTTAGTTCGAATCTACAATAGATTTTTAAGCCTTAAACCACAAGAAATGGAAGAATCACAATCGATTATTCTCCTCGTATTCGACTATAATTGGCAAATTACTTATGGTTTAAAGCTTAAATAATCTATTGTAGATCTGGATTTAAAAATGTATTAGATATATATTTTGTCTAATACATACTTAATTTTGAAAACATTCAAAAAATTATGAAAACATTACAGATTGTTTTATATCGCATTCGAAAATAATAGAAAAAAATTGTCAGTAATTTTCTACATAAATAAAAAATTATTTTAATAAGAAATTCATATTTTTTAACAAAAATATTAAGAAATAATAAAAAATCTAAATTTTTTATTCAAATTGCTTTAAATATATATATTCGAGATGATTTTTTTATGTATGTAATATAAAGTTTCATTGCGATACAAAGATTAGTTGTTTTGTAAATAAACAACATTATTTTATTTATTTATTTATTTATTTACAGAATAACTAAACAGGCAATCACAATAAAACTTTGTATTATGAATTATTTTAAACACTTAAACTATAAAAAAATTGAGATTTTCAATGTTGTAAAAAATAATTTAATTTTTAATAACAAATAAACTTAAATATAAAAACCATAAAAATATATTATTAAATAAAAATATCTTAGTCACACACACAGTTTCCATATGTATAGTATAATTTATTTAAAATGTAAAATATTAAATTTCCAAATTTAATTTACTTTGCAAGAACTATAGGACCAATACATCCTTAAAGTCGATTGTCTCTCATTTTTTCTACGAACTAACAAAAGTCTAAAAAATTATAAAATATTTACGATATTTGCATTTTCTGTCTTGGCATGTGAAAACCGAAATTTCTCTCGACTTATTCTGAATTCGTGAACGTTTATTAGTAGTTTTCCCGGAAATTGAGTGAATCGACTTCAATAAAAAAAAAGCCATAGACAATTTATGTGCACTCATTTGCGATTTTTATGGATAATAACCAACCTGGTTTCTTGTCAAGTATGACGTTCACCGGCGCAACGGTGTTATACGACGCGACTTCCGGCAACGCGTTTACCACCGTCTTCGGGCCGGCTTCCGCTTCGATGGCGTTAAGCGCAGCCACCACTTTCGATTTCTTCTTCTTGTGCTCCTTGTCCTTTCTCTTGCTTATCGGTTGTGGTAGTGCCTCATGGCTATACATATAACACACGTAAAATCGTGAAACATCGCGTAATCCTTTTCAATGTTAAACTTCCACGTCTAAAAATTAATATCTCTGTCAATTTAAGCTAGCAGGATTAAATGAACAGAATCGAAAAAGATCTATTAAACTATTTAATGCTAATTTTGTGCTAATTTATGCTACAAAACATAATTTTACCACATGCTGTTTAAAAAGAAATCTCGTGGTTTTTTTTACCTATTCAGAATGATTAAAAAAAATCTCTAAAAATTCACTAACATACTTTCTAGAATAAATATTGGCACTTCATTTTGGAAAATAATAAAATGTAATCTAATTTATAATTACCGAAAGACTCAAAGAAATTTGCACGAACAGGAATCGCTCGGTGACCCACCTTAGTAGGGTAAGGGTTAATATAATCATTCCTTCCACTCATGATATATTAATCCTAATTACGGACATTTTTTCCATTGAGATTTCTGATCGATTGCCTATCTATTATGACTTGCTTTTATGGAATTTTTCAAAACGCTAGTTTTCATGGAATTTGAAATAAATATAATGTAAATATATATAAATATAAATTTAATTAAAATAAAACAATTTCTTATTATACTGGCAATTCCGCATTCTTTTGTTGGAATCCTTGCAATGGTAAAATTTTCACATATAGATCACGCAATGCAAGTCGATAATATCCGCGTGTCACGCCATGTGATGAGCGAGTGTCAACGTGGAAACAGTGTTGATAAGCCAGAATTGTAATAAACGCGGTTCTTGCGACTCACGCGGATCTAAATATAAACGCCAAGGGAAATATTCTATTGAAAGAGCGTGCAAACGTGTGGTGATTCTAAAATCCTTAGAAAATATTCGCAACATGATCTGAGACGTTGTTCCCGCGTTGCAATCATAACATCCGAGATAATGTCACGCTAATAAACAATCATAAATTAAAAATTATCACAACAAGTTAATTAGTCCATATTTAAACGCGCATAATATTTAATATTAATATTAAATATAATATTAAATATAATATTAAATATTAAAATATAATAGAATATTTTAAATAATGACAATATAAATACATGCGATTATATTATATTATTTATATTTCTCGCATAAAACATTTTATAAAATCGAACTAATGTTATTTTAAATTTTATTTACTGCAGCTTTGCAGTCTCGGCTTGCAATTGTAATCTACTAATTCTAATACATAGATGGCTTTCTCCCGGAAATCTCTTTCAAGAAAGTTCTGATATAACAAATCTGTAAAACGTGACAATCAGACGTTACACAAGTAAGAGAAAGTTTAACATTCGCCTAACCATCGATCGCTCCGAAGTTATACCGGAAGTCTTCCTGGCCATACGTTTTGTACACTTTTTTGCACGTAAATAGCGAAAAATTTCATCATTAGGAGCGATTTCGATCAAACTTCGATTAAGTTATCGGTTAATTCAACAAACAGAATTGCTTACAGCAAAATTTCTATAGCCGTACAATTCGTTGTCTCTAATCTAATTTTTCTCTCTGCGTGTGTTAAGTAATAAAAAATCATCCCTATCCACTTGTGAACGAAATATAAATTAATCGTCGATTAATGGGAGTTCGATCAAAGTTGTTTCAAGCTAATTATATAAGTGAATAATCATTATATAAGCGAACAAATTAAACGGTAATGAGTAGAGTATTGATCGCGATGCTAAATCTAAAATTAATTTTATCTAAAATTAATTAAAAATAGAGAATATTTGCATAATTGTTCTCCTCGAAGCTCTAACTAACGATATAAATAACAGTAAATTAAAAAAATAACCCTTGAGAGATTATACTCTCGCTCGTAACAATCCCCGGACTTATCTTATCGTACAGTGATTACCAAACCACCTCTGTTTTAAACAATGCGAAATACGAGTAATCGAATACAATAGGCACGCTTTGGACTCGTTGAGAAACGAATTATTTTAATCTGATATTACATTTCGTTGTTATATCAAGCATTATTTAACAAATTATGATTGCTTAATAAACGCAACCGACGGAGATGTAATGAATATGATTGTATTGAATCTAACTATGATTATCTATTCTATTTCAAGCATTATGTGAATATATGTAATAATATATTAATAATATATTTTATTAATATAAAATTTTATTGTATATGTATACACACAATGAGAAAAAGTATTCTAAATTTTAATAAATATTTATTTGAATGTAGTACCAACTAAACACTTATTGTATTTATAGTAAATAAATATTTACTCAATAAAAAGAAATGATTAACGTTTTCGTATTAAGTAAATGTATCTTTAGTAAATATTTGATTAGCACTATTCAAACAAATAATTTATTAAAATTTAATATATTTTTTCAGTGTATAAATACAGAAACATGTATGTGTGTTTAATTATTTTAAAAAAATATACTAGTATGCTAATATGTTTTTACAAATTTCATTACATCAATCTTAAGTAAATTTTATTACAGCTATTAAGTTAATAACAACAGTAAATCGTATTAGCTAACAACTTAAAAAAGTGTCTTATAATAATTATAAGTGCCTGTAAATGATACTCGCATTTCACATTTGCAAGAATCGCAAGCCATACAAAAATAAAACGTGCAACATTAGATAATTACTGCAACGTGCTTTAAATGAATACGATTGATACGTTTTCCTTCGACGACTAGTTTTCTATCGAAGTTTTCATTAATAAGGCAACATGATACGATTACTCTAAAACATTTTAATTATACCATATTCGGCGTTAATCAGAATCTTTTCATGGCAAAATATTTTCACGGAGAATTTTAATTAAAAAAATATAGGCTACTATAATTAAACCTAAATCTCTTCCTTGAAATTGTGTTTCTCAAAATTCCATTTTAGATATCATTTGCCAAGCAAGCGAAATTACGTAATGATTATATGATATGTTCTCTTCGTGGGAAGAGAAGTTTTTCCAGAAATTAATCATCCGATCGACCGTGAATTTTTAGATCGATATTCACTTATTATAACATTTATAACCGCGCCTGATCTCCTTTATTATCTATTACGCAACAATATGCGGGAGTGACTGACGAATATTTAGACGGCACGTGGCGCGACACGTGCGTCGTTGTTTACGAGCGTCGCTGTTGCGTTGATCTCGCTGTATAACTGACTTTAACTATTTTATTTACATATATATATAAATGTATTACATATATATATATATATATATATATATAATGCAGTTACACGATAACGATGAGTGATGCGTATGTGATTGCTAGTTATCTTTACCAGAAGAATCGGCGGATAGAGAATCCTGGTGCAAAGATAAAAATTAGAATCAAATCGAATGTAAGGGAAGAAAAAGCTTTTAAAAAGGTAAAAGAGACTTATGTTTAGTAAACTTTTATATTTTATTAACTTAATTTTCGCCTCCTACTGGAAGTTTCGTTTATGCTTCTGTAGTTTGATTTCTTCTATTCGACTCTCATTATTAAATTCATAATATCAAATTATGTCTAATTTGAATTATTTTTTATCACTTTCGCTATTAATCAATCGCCACTGCTTCTACTCAATATGTTGTTAATTGAATTAAAACAAGTTGAACAATTTACAATGTGTACTATTTTATCTGTGTTTAACAC